GCTTGCAAGGCTTAAGTGATGTGCATTACCGAGAGGGCCCAGAGATACCTCTCCGACATTCCTGATCTCGAAATACGCCAACTCAACAAGTACCTTTGGAGACACCTATAGAGCACCTTTATAATCACCCAGTTACGTTGTGACGTTTGGTAGCACACAAAGTGTTCCTCCGGTAAACGGGAGTTGCATAATCTCATAGTCATAGGAACATGTATAAGTCATGAAGAAAGCAATAGCAACATACTAAACGATCGGGTGCTAAGCTAACGAAATGGGTCATGTCAATCAGATCATTCAACTAATGATGTGATCCCGTTAATCAAATAACAACTCTTTGTCCATGGTTAGGAAACATAACCATCTTTGATTAACAAGCTAGTTAAGTAGAGGCATACTAGTGACACTCTGTTTGTCTATATATTCACACATGTATTATGTTTCCGGTTAATACAATTCTAGCATGAATAATAAACATTTATCATGATATTAAGGAAATAAATAATAACTTTATTATTGTCTCTAGGGCATATTTCCTTCACTAGCGCCATCGTCAGTGTCTTTCCTCCCAGCCTCCTCCCCCCTGTCCTACTACACTGAAGCATCGTTGGCATCCCCTTACCGGCCTCCTGGCTCGCGTCCTACTACACTAGCGTCGTCGCCATCGTCGTTCTGTCGCGTATGTTTTTGCATTAGCACCATCATCGACGTCCTTCCTCTCAACCTCCTCTCTCATGTCCTACTACACTCGCACGATCGTCGTTCCTCTTGGTCTCCTCTCTCATGTCCTGCTACACTGAAGCCATCGCCGACATCGTTCCTCTCGGCCTTCTCGCTCGCATCCTACTACAATGGTGCCGTCGTCATCGTCGTTCTTTTTGACCTCCTCCTCTGCGTCCTACTACACCGACGCCGTCGTCATCGTCCTTATTTTTGGCCTCCTCCTCCGTGTCCTACTACACTGACGACGCCATGACGTGCACACCGCATTTTTTCACCACCATCCTCTGCCTCAGCGCATTCCTATTCGTTACTCCACACGAACTTTCTCTGCGACAACGGTGCTAGCAAATAGTTCACCGTGCCGCCGATGAGACCGCTCGCCCACGACTACGTGCTCATCATGTCGGACACGGCGCCGCGACCACCGCCCACCGCTGTCGCCGAGGCACTCTAGTGTAACACTGTGCGTTATGTGTGGTTGTTAACTCTTAATCATGTCCAATGCATGCAACCAACCAAAATGCAGTAGTATTGACACAACCAATGTGAGCAACCAAACATGATGCGTAGAGGTGTTGTTATGATGCAGGGAGAGGGAATGCAGACAACTAATCAACGTGCAGATGATGGTTTTTTGCCTGTATATGCCCAGTCGGGCCCACCTGGGACAAATATGCAAAAGGGCAAAAAACGACGCAAGTAACCTGAGGTCCTAGTTCCGTGCAAATCATCGGCGTTTGTGTTATACTCACATTTTCCAGCATTATTCAGCTGGCGGGCCACTTAGGGCAGTTCGGGCACTCCCAACAAAAACAAGATAAAATCTACTTATCCGAAAATAAAAATGAAAATGAAAATGAAAAAGAGTATTATATATATTTAAGAAACGGTTTTGCTAGTTCTCAGCTAGCTAGCTTATAAATAGTTAGGTCAAATGCCATTAAGATTTTTTGTTGAACTCACTAGTAGAAAAACGACCTTTAGTCCCCGTTCTGTAACCGACACTGAAGGGTGGGGACTAAAGCCCACCCCTTTAGTCCCGGTTCAACACGACCCAGGACCAAAGGCCCACCACGTGGCACGAGCCCGCGCCGGGGGCTGGGGGACCTTTAGTCCCGGTTGGTAACACCAACCGGGACTAAAGTTTTTTTTATTTTTTTTTAATTTTCTAATTTCTGAATTATTTGATGATTTAACCTCTAATCACCCCTCATCATTGCTCAAGTGTGGAGCACTCGTTTCAAATCGTCTAACTTCCCAGTCGATCACCCATCCTCTCACTACTCTAGCCTGAGCACGCTTAACTTCCGAGTTCTATTTCCTCAAGTTTGCAAGTCTGCACTTGTTGTTTACCTAACAATAGTAAGCTATCAATCCTATTAACCCTCAGGAGTTTACCTTGAGCATTAAGTCACACGTTTCACCGTTTGAGTTTGAAACTACTATTTAAAAAATAATAATTATTTAGTAACACTAATATTTGTTGAATAAGTAGTTTGACCAGATTTGACCATAGTTTGACCACAATTTGACCAAAATTCAAAAAGAATAAAATAATTATTTAGTAACACTAATATTTCTTGAGTAAGTAGTTTGACCATAGTTTGACCAGATTTAACCAAAATTAAAAAAATACAGAAATTTGAGAATAACTTTTTTTTCTTTAAGAATTTGAGGATTCAAAAAACTTGCAAAACGGCCGACGGCTGTCGAAATCGGATGCGGATTTTCGTGCTGAACATTTTGATATACTATGCGCTTTTTTCGACATCATATGCAAAAGATATGGTCGTTTTACTTTTTCATAACACTTTTTTGCAAAACATGTCAAAATTTATGTTTTTAAATTTCCGTAACTACTAGATGTAGTAACATAACTACATCTCGAAGGATTTTAATTTTTGAAGTTTTAATCATTTTCTTTTGATTTTTTCTCAAAAGGCGATACGGGGAGGGGGGCTAGAGTTTGAAAATTGCCCTTTAGTCCCGGTTTGTGTCTCCAACCGAGACTAAAGGTTTGACCCCCCTTTAGTCCCGATTTGTGACACAAACCGGGACTAAAGGGCATGTTTGTGTCACAAACCGGGACTAAAGGGGCTCGTGGGGCCCCGGCCTGACGCCAGCCTGCCACCACCCCTTTAGTCCCGGTTTGTGGCACAAACTGGGACTATAGGTCACAAATGAATCGGGACTAATGGTCACATTAGTGCCGGTTCATTTACAAATCGAGACTAATGAGCTGAACATTAGGTCATTTTTCTACTAGTGACTTCTTGGTGTTTTCTAGAGGAAGCACGATGGCAGGGTACTGGTGATCGGATGAGTTGTTGTGCGATACCTGGTTGGCTATACCTACGGATTTTGCAGGCATGAGCAAGGGATCGAGCTTTTGGTAAAACTTGCATGCTTAGTTTCATGAGCATAAGAACTTCGCACCATACGACATGCATCGTCATCCATGAACCCAATGCGAAGTCGCTAACGCATCGGTGGTACATCATCTCCAACTTCGTCATGAAGTTTTGCTGTGCGATTGTATGACTGAAGAGAATGTGGTTATCGGGCCTGTCAACCATGAGATCGTAAGTTTTACTTGTTATTCTCTGCATGTTTGTCAATTCATTGATTCACTCAATGTTGCAACTTGATAATCATCGTGTTGAATAGCATGGACGCGCAGCTGTGCTGTACCACAGGAGGGAGGTCATTTAACTCAAGGGGAACTACGTGTGGGGCGTTGCGGGTTCTGACTCTAGTATCGTTGAATTTGTAATTGATGAATTCCAAAAACTTGTTGATCATCCTACTATCACGGATGTGATATATATGTTTGAATTATTGTTGTACTAGGATATTCGCTTTGTAATTTATGAATGAATTGTGTTATTTTATAATTATTCTGAGTGTTGTGGAACTAGAAAAAAAGAGTGGACACTTAGAGGACAGGATTTGATGACCGGCTCCCGTATCAGCGTCCACAGACTGGTCCAGACCAGTCCGTGGACGAATAATAGTATGTCAATTTTAACGGTCCACGTTGGAGATGTCCTAAGAAGCGAACTACCACTCATCGCGAGGTCTGTACACAAAGTTCTTTTTCTCTGAAACTGAACAGAGTTATCTTGTTATGGGACGAAAATACACAAGTTTTTCTTAGTCATTATTATGTGAATTCTTGGACTAACGCACTGTCAATGTCCACAGAGGATTTGCATTGTGCAACAAGGGGATACGTTTTTAGGGGAGCGTGCAGATGAGGCGCATACTTATTTAGATTAGTTCGTTCTGTATCCATACATATAACAGTTTGCAGCACGTTATCTCTGTGTGTTTGTAGTTGCCCTAGTGGCCTAGTGAATGAAAGCAGAGAAATAAGCTACAGAGAGGGAATAATGTTCAGCCAGAAAAACAAAAGGCAAGCAACTTCAGCCCATGCCTTTGAACTTTTAACCAAAGTAGACTGTATCAATCAAACTCATATAGTTTTTGCGAATCATTCTAGCCATTTTTGCGAATTATTCTAACCGATTAGCTCTGCATCAGAGGCCACATGGAAGAATCGCCAAGAAGAGAACGAAGAACTGCTTTTGAAGCCACGGAAGGATTGACAGTACTGCCATACACCCGCACACAAACAAGATTTCCACAAAAGAGAAAACAAAGGAACAATAGGCTCCAAAACTCCAACTGCATGATCCATCGAAGGATAGAAACAGCCACAAGTTCTGGCGTACGTATGTGCTAAAAAGAATTTTGGCGCCCACAGTTTTGGCTACAACTCTGTTCTCATGTCTAATGTATGAGCTGCATATATAACAGTTATGACATCTCCAACCAAAATAACGATGCATGCCTATTCATTCGCAGCTGAGCGTTTCATGTACAAGCACCAACTGTTACCAACCGCAAACAAACCCGAATTGGAAGCTTGCATTGATCCAAAAAAGGTTTAGTTACAAATGAACAATGTATAGATCAGTATCCAACAAATGGTTCAGCCCATTGCCTGCAACAAAACAACATACGAGGACACACATGAAAACAGCCCCCCAGCCAAAACTGTTTTTCGATCTGCTGGTGCCTCCCGTTTCCCATTCCATTTTCTTAACTAGAGCAGCAACAGCCACTCACACTGGCTTTCCCATGGGCGCGGTCTTTTGCCTGCTAGTATAACAGTTTGCAGCACGTTATCTCTGTTGCCCTAGTGGCCTACTCAATGGAAGCAGAGGACTAAGTTGCAGAGAGGGAATAATGTTCAGTCCCCAATCTGGGTCAACATATCAGTGAATCCACCAGGTAGGAGGGAACTTGCGCGACCGTGGCCCGATTGCTTGGCTGCCGACCGGCGGCCACGGCTCAACTTGGGCCTCCGGCAGAGTGAATCTTCCCATGTCACCACGCAGGAAGCATTCTTGGTCCTCGACGCCACGGTCGTCGTAGAAGAAAATGGACACTCCGGTGCGGAACTTGTCGTCGAGATCCTCAAAATCACTGGCATTGAAGATCCTGGAGCAACCACGCCCAATGAATATGAGCTTGGCCTCAAGGAAAAACTCATGGTCCGACTTGGAGCTGGGATCTAGCTCATGCCAGTGGAGACGGGGCTCCACATCCTCAGGGTACTCTGGAGCGTCAGGTTCATCAACCTCGCTTAGCCTGAACACGCGCACAGAGGAAGTGGGTTGCGTAGGCTCATCTTGATACTTGAGCACCATCAGGAAAGGATTATCCTCCTCCATACCTCCAAGATTAACCAAATACCGCTGGACTGTCATGTTCTCCGGGTGTTCCTCATCATATATCTCCCAATCCTTCTCGACATAAATCTCCAGACGGGGTGGGGGTGGGACTCCCTCACGGTTGGGATGAGCTCCAATTCTCTCCATGTTCTCATAAGAGTTGAGGAAGTAAAAGCTGCCATTGGAGTATACCACATCGTGTATATCCAGACTGTGCGTTGGGATGAGATCCCAGTCAATGCACGTCCAGTGCTCCTTGGACGGGTCCCATAGTGCAATGCCAGAGAAGTCATTGCCCTGGATCCTTGCAATCGCGCCGATGGTGTAGTTGTATGGTGGGTCCAGAACTGGCGACCCTGAGAGAGCTGCTGCCTCAACTCGGATATATCGTGCACGCCCGTCCACCATTGTCGTCGTTGGCATCGGAATGCTGACGCCGGAGAATATGTTGAACAGTCTGTTGTCCAGTGGTCCATCAAGAGCGAGGACGAACCACCCCCCTTGGTAGGATCCACAGAAACTTGCTCTCTGCTTGATGTCTGGTGGGAGTCCGAGGCGCCGGGTGTTCCCTCCCTGTGTTACGTGGACCAGAGGGTGCTCTGGAGAAGACGACGGTAGCACCAATGACGGGAGTAGTGGAGGAAGATGGAGATCACGACGGTGTTGTTCCAAGAACCCGTGCCATTTCTTGTTGACGACGGAGAACCGGAGACGATCTACCGGACATGGCAGGCGGGAGAGCACAACTGGAAGCAGCTCGCGGGGAATGTCTGCCCATCCCGCTGTGAGGCCGACGGTGTCCGTGCTCTGCACCAAGCAAATAGTAGTATATGGATCAGAAATCAGCAAATAATTCGAACCAGATGCTCGTACGAAGTACTCCTATTTGGGACAGGAAATAATTCGAATCAGATGCTCGTACAAGTATTTGGATCAGCGAATAAATTCGAATCCGATGCTCGCACAAGTATTTGGATCATCAGCAAATAAATTGGAATCCGATGCTCGTACAAGTATTTGGATCATCAGCAAATAAATTCGAATCCGATGCTCGCACAAGTATTTGGATCATCAGCAAATAAATTCGAATCCGATGCTCGTACAAGTATTTGGATCATCAGCAAATAAATTCGAACCCGATGCTCGTACAAATATTTGGGTCAGCAAATAATTCGAATCCGGTGCTCGTACAAGTATTTGGATCAGCAAATAACTGGAATCAGACGCTCGCTCTCGCTCTCGCTCCTAGAGAATTCGGATCAGACGCTCGCTCTCGCTCTCGCTCCTAGAGAATTCGGATCAGACGCTCGCTCTCGCTCTCGCTCCTAGAGAGAATTCGGATCAGACGCTCGCTCTCGCTCCTAGAAAGAGAAAGAGAGGAGGAAGACTCACATCATCAGCCGCACAAGCGCGCTTGCTCCCCTCTTCTGGATCCATCTCCAACTCGGCCGCGACCCCTTTCTCACGAGGCCCGCGAGGCAGGATGGGCGTCAGAATATATAGGGAAGGGACGGGACGGGACGGGCTGCTTGCTGGCCTGCCCAGGAGCCGGGAGGGGACGGGAGGGGAGGGGAGGGAAACGAATTCGCTCGATTCGAACTGGACTTCTCTTTTTGCTTCCATTCTGTTAGGAACTACTTATACTGGAGTAATTAATTGGGTAGGGTTAATGTCGGTTGCGGCAATTAATGAGACAAGTGTCCAATCACTTGCTTTCCCTTCTACTCCAGTAAACTCCAAGAGACAGAGGGTTTCAAAATAAAAAATCCCAAAAGAGGAAAATCAAGAGGGGAGGGGGAGAAGAAATGAATCGGAGACTCGAGGCGCATGGCTACACCAACAGAATCTTGCCTGGACGCTGGACGACGGACCAAGGCATCGACGGGATGCGGCATCGCCTGGCTTCACTCCCGCACTGGACCAAGACGCCGGCTGCAGCGGCTTCGTCCCCGCCGCCGCCGCCGCTGCCGAATCACACGCGCCCGAGCCCTCTCGCCGGAGCAGGGCGCGCGCCACGCGACCAACACATCAGCGGCCTCTGGCGCACGGCGAGCAGGGCCTCCCGGCCGGCACCGGACATCTTTTCCTCGGGACACACGGGAGAAAGATCGGGGATTCTTATCCATTGGGCTATTTATTGATTTAGCCCTCTAACTTTGTGTTAAACCCGCCAAAGTCCATGTATTTCTATATGGAAAACGTTTACATCTGGCACGCGGTACCAACTTCGCGTCGGTCGTGTCGACCACACCCACCAACGCCACGCACACCCACCAACGCCGGGGCGCCGCCCGTCCTTGAGGGCCCACGCATATCCCTCCCCCCCTCGTATCTTCTTCTTCCTCTTGCTAATCCTCTCTCCTCGATGCGCGCCGACATGGCCGCACTCCTCCTTTCTTCCTCGACGCTCGTCGCCATGTCCACGCACTCTCCTCCACTTCCCAGATGCTTGTCACCATGACCTCCTCCTCCTCCTCCTCCTTTCCCCCTCGACGCTCGTCGCCATGGCCGTACACTCTACTCCACTTCCCTGATGCTTGTCGCCATGACCTCTTCCTCCTCCGCCGCCATGGATGTGTGATGACCCACAAGTATAGGGGATCAATTGTAACTCTTTTCGATAAGTAAGAGTGTCGAACCCAACGAGGAGCAGAAGAAAATGACAAGTGGTTTCAGCAAGGTACACTACCAAAAAATACACTTCCGTGATGATACGTGTTTGCCACGGTAGGTCAAGTTTTCTGTCATGCATGTATGTCCATGACGATTTTATGACAGAATCAAGATAGTCATACCTGTGTTGTCGTATAAGTGTTCCATGACATTACCAACATTATCATCACGGAAGTGTCCACTTCCATGACGATAAATGACGCGTCATGGAAGTATTTTCGTCAAGGGTAACCGGCACGTGGCATCCACCGTAACAGGTCACCGTTAAGCTATCGGGTTCGGTTTTGGATCTGATAACCCATTAACAGCCCGAACCAATGGGGATTTTCCACGTGTAAAATTCTCATTGGCCGGAGGAAACACGTGTTGGCTCACCGTTGGGAGATATGTCATCCATGCATTGGACATGAGGCATCTATGATACGTCGACACGTGGCACGGCCCAACAGAGGCACATTCCGGTGAAAACGCCGGCTCGTTGACTTGGTCAGAAGGTAACGGGCCGGCCCACGGAAAGCCTGTTAATGGCCTGTTCGTATAGAGCCCATTTACGACCCGCTAACTCATGGCCCGTTACGACCTATCGGAATTTAGCCCAATAACTTCATCTGGGTCGTCCAATATGATTCCAGCCCGTTGTAACTTCCGGCCCATGTATGGCCCGTGATGTCTTTCGGCCCATATGAGGCCCTTTGTAACTCCGGGCCCATTAAAGGCCCGAGATGAAACTGGCCCATAATGAACAGTGTACCGCTTTATACCCATTAACGACTCATTATTCCGTCGGCCGTTTCCAGCCCGTGTTAACTTTCGGCCTTCTAAGGGCCCATTTATTCTTGGGCTCATTTCTAGAATTCGGTTAGTTACGGTCCGTTACACGCCTGTTCCATTTGTGGGCCAAATTCAGCCCGTGGTTACATTCGGCCCGTTTGTGGCCCATTAACCCGTTGGGCTGTTTTCATAGCGTTATCAAATACAGCCTATTAACGGCCCGTTATGATCCACGAATAGTACAAACCATGTTTGGCGAAATCATTATATGCCCCGTAGAAGGCCCATGGATCCTACGGCCCGTGTGAGGGAGTCCTGGATTAAGGGGTCCTCGGGCGTCCGGCCTATTAGCCATGGGCCGGACTGATGGGCTGTGAAGACATGAAAACCGAAGACTGCACCCATGTCCGGATGGGACTCTCCTTGGCGTGGAAGGCAAGCTTGGCGACCGGATATGTAGATTCCTTTCTTTGTAACCGACCTTGTGTAACCCTAGATCCTCGCGGTGTCTACCTCCCGGTGTCTATATAAACCGGGGGACTTAGTCCGGAAAGGAAGATACTCATTACCATAGTCATACATGCTAGACTTCTAGGGTTTAGCCATTACGATATCGTGGTAGATCAACTCTTGTAATACTCATATTCATCAAGATCAATCAAGCAGGAAGTAGGGTATTACCTCCATAGAAAGGGCCTGAACCTGGGTAAACATCGTGTCCCCTGTCTCCTGTTAACATCGACCTTAGATGCATAGTTCGTGAACAGGCTAGTTATCGACTAGAGGGGGGGGGGGTGAATAGGCGATTTCTATGAAAGTCTTCAAAACGTGGGAGTTTCGAAGACAAATAACAGAACCGGCACTATTCGTATGCAGCGGAAGGTAGACTACACTAGACAAGCCATAGTCAAGTATTCAATGAAGTGAAAGCACAAAGACTAATAGCGGCTAGGTAGTAAAGATCAGGATGGAAGATGGTATGAAGCCAATCAGAACAGGTAGTCACACAGTGAAGTCAAACAGATAATGCAAGCAGGCAATGACATCACGAAGACAAACTGTATGTAAAGAGAAGTTAGAGATAGAACCCATGGCTTCAGAAGGACAGGGATTTGTTCGACCAGTTCCAGTTGCTGTGACAACTGTACGTCTGGTTAGGGAGGCTGAGATTCAACTCAGAAGACCTCGTCTTCACCTTATTCCCCTTGAGCTAAGGACACTTAGTCCCCGCCCAATCACTCTGGTAAGTCTTCAAGGTAGACTTCTGAACCTTCACAGACTTCGTTCACCGGCTGTCACGCCCAATATGCGACCCTATCCAAGAGGAACTAGAAGGTCCCACCAAGGATAGACCCGCATATTGGAACGCTTTTGCAAGGTGGATATCATTACATCAACATTACATAAATAGATGGGGATACATCCAATACATACAATGTCACATGAATACCACAATACAACATACAAGAACAACATCCGACTACAGATGAATCATAAATAGAAACTCAAACAATATCCACCCTGCTAGCCCAGGCTGCCGACCTGGAACCTATCCCTTGATCGAAGAAGAAGCAGAAGAAGAACTCCAAACAAGCAAACATCGCTCTCGCGTCAAGATCATCGCATAACCTGTACCTGCAACTGTTGTTGTAGTAATCTATGAGCCACGAGGACTCAGCAATCCCATTACCATGGGTATCAAGACTAGCAAAGCTTAATGGGAAAGGAAGGGGTAAAGTGGTGAGGTTGCAGCAGCGGCTAATCAAGTATGGTGGCTAACATACGCAAAAGAGAGCGAGAAGAGAAGCAAAGGAATGATCGTGAAGCTAGCAATGATCAAGAGGTGATCCTGAACTCCTACTTACGTCAACCATAACACAGAAACCGTGTTCACTTCCCGGACTCCGCCGAGAAGAGACCATCACGGCTACACACGCGGTTGATGCGTTTTAATTCGGATCTGGTGTCAAGTTATCTACAACCAGACATTAACAAATTCCCATCTGCCACATAACCGCAGGCATGGCTCTCGAAAGTTTATACCATGCAGGGGTGTCCCAACTTAGCCCATGACAAGCTCTCGCGATCAACGAAGGAATAGACCTTCTCCCAGGAAGACCCGATCAGTCTCGGAATCCCGGTTTACAAGACATTTCGACAATGGTAAAACAAGACCAGCAAGACCTCCCGGCGTGCCGACATCCTGATAGTAGCCGCGCGTATCTCGTCTCAGGCCACGACCGGATGAGCACTACGTACAACTAGAACCAGCCCTCAAGTTTCCCCGAGGTGGCGCTGCAAGTGGCTCTAGTTTGGACCAACACTTAGACAAGCATTGGCCCGGGGGGGCTAAAATAAAGATGACCCTTGGGATGCGCGACTCCCAAGGGAAAAAGGTAATAGGTGAGGCAAATGGTAAAACTAAAGTTGGGCCTTGCTGGAGGAGTCTTATTCAAAGCGAACTGTCAAGGGGGTCCCATAAATCACCCGACCGCGTTAGGAACGCAAAATCCGGGAACATAACACCGGTATGACAGAAACTAGGGCGGCAAGAGTGGAACAAAACACCAGGCATAAGGCCGAGCCTTCCACCCTTTACCAAATATATAGATGCATTAATAATATAAGAGATATTGTGATATCCCAACATAACCCTGTCCACCATGAAGCAATCTTCATCTTCACCTGCAGCTAGCAACGCTATAAGAGGGGCTGAGCAAAGCGGTAACATAGCCAAGCAACTGTTTGCATAGGAAAGGTGTCAAAGGTTAGAGGTTCATGGCAATTTGGGATGGCTTGATAAACAGGTGATAGGTAGCGCAGCATAGCGATAGAACAAAACAACTAGCATAGCAATGATAGTAGTGAGATCCAGGGTAGCAGTCATCTTGCCTGAAATCCCGCAAGGAAGAAGAACGAGTCCATGAAGAAGATGAAGCCACGAAGACGAACCAAGCGTAGACGAACGAATCCTCACGATCACAACGAAACGGGAACTATCGAGAAGAAGCACACAACATGGTAAACACACCACACATAGACAAGACATGATGCACAACAAGCATGATGCATGACAAAGCTAGATGAGGCTACTCATGGCAAGAGATGATTCATACAAGAGCAACACATCAAGGCAAGTTTAAATGAGGCCGGAAACAACATGTAACAATTCCGGTAAGTCCTCATATGCAAATTTCGAAATTAGTCCAGAACTGAATAAACCTTATGTTCAAGTTGTTAAACAGCAAGTTAAGATGCACCAAGATGATCTACACGAAAATTCTAGTCAAGTTACATATAAAGTTCATTAGGTTCGGAGCTATGTCCTAAAAGATATGAGCAAAACAAGTTAAACATGGCATTGATGCTAAATGCACCCAAACATCAAGCAAACACACCAAAACAAGGATGCAACATGATAATATGAAGCTACATGCAAAAACAAGCAAGT